TCTGTCCCACGAACCTTCTGCTCCCTTCAGGGGTCTCCACGGAGGACACCTGTCTCCTGATCTGTTCCACCAACTTTCTGCAGATCCTCCTTCATCACACCCATTAGCCGTCTCTGTGGTCTTCCTCTGTTCCTCCTCCATGGCACATCCAACATCCTTTGTCCAGCATGTCACCTGTCCCTCCTCTGGACATGTTGAGACCATCTCAGCCTCACCTTTCTAACTTTGTCTCCAAACCTGAGCTGTCCCTTTGATGGACTCATTTTTAATCATGTTCACTTTGGTCTCTGGACATTTTCCTTTCCGTCCTGTCTGTTAGCGACACGTCTATCACAACAGGTCTCATTCTGTACTCCTTATCCTTCATAGTGCCACCTCTCCAGGCTCTCTTCCCTTAACAAAAAGTAGTTTATTTAAGTGTACTACAAGTATACTTATTTTACACTAAAAAATGAGTAAGTGTACTTGAACTTTACTTTTTATAAATTTTATTTGATATACTTAAAAATAGTATAAAAATGTCCCCATTTAGTCCAAACAAGTATTAAATCAGTATACTTCTAGTAAACTACAAGTATGGTGTGTAGTTTACTTGATATACTTATACTTAACTTAAAGTATACTTGCAAAGATAAACTTCAAATGTACTACTTTTTTTAAGGGTTCCACCTGCTCCCTACACTCACTACAAATGTTTGCAAACACCAGAGTCTGTGGGGACTCCTTCCTGACCTCATCTGTCCAGCTGTCCATCACCACAACACTCAGGAAGGGGGTCAGATGTGAAGTCCAGACCAAACTCCTGTCCATGAAACAGAATGTGGCAGTTTTCAGGTCTGATGTGGATCAGGACATTTATGAAACACCAAACGTTCTTGGCTCAGTTTTCAGAGCGGAAACAAACTCAGCCTTAAAGTCTCAAGGAGCAGAACCTTCAGAGTCTGTTAGGAAGAGTAAAAACAGATCTAAGGTGAAACGAAACCACTTCCTGTTAAACACAAAGGTTAGAGGTGATGCAACACCTCCTGATGCAGATCGTTTAAAAATGTTTCATGTGAAATAATTGCAACAGCAGAAACTTCTAACCTTCAGATCACGTTCAAAGGACTCAAAATTCATGTAAACTGAGTGAACAGAACCTCTAACTGATCCAAATGTTCTGAATCACGAAGAGTTTTGGTCCAAACCTGAGAAAAGAGCTGTAAAAAAATGTGAATGTTTTAGATTATTTCTGAGCTTTTTGAAATCGGTCGTGTTTTCTAATGATCTGACTGAGGACTAAAGAGTGGAAGCACAATCCAGATGTTCTGATGAGAGACATCAAACTGTATTTATGGAGAGACGGGCCTGGACCATGGACACATCTGTCTCTTTGGTGACTTCCTGTTGAAAACGTCATGTTGCTGTTTGTCCATGATGCTTCTGAATAAACCTGCTGGTTGTTGCATCACAGCCTCTGTTGACTCTGATTGTTGAGCAGAACCACAACGGGCCGACGACAGAACCTGGTGTTTGAAAAAGACTCCCACCCCCTGAGTGTCCATGTTTTAATGTGAACGTGCACAAACCGAAGCTTCAGGTCAACACCTCACAAAATGACTCATTTCAATGACTCGTGGATACTCGGCTCCTAAATGACCAGAAATGAGTCGGGCCACACTTTGACCCAGTCGGTTCTACGCTTTGTGAAAAGTACAGGTCAAAACTAAATGTGTGGCAGCCATGAGGGCTTGTGTTTCAACCCCCCAACAAGAAAATTACACATGAGGGAAGATGAACCACTGACCTAACCAAACATACTTTATCCTCTGAAACACTTTTATGGTGTGTTTTAAATGAATGAAACCAGCCACTAGGGAACACAAGAGGAGAGAGTGGTGATGGGAGCAGAACTGAAGGCTGAAGAAACAGGATGAGGAAGTGATGGGTAGGTTTGGTGTGGAGGAAAGAAACCAGGAAGGACAGATGGTGGTGGATTTCACCAAGAGAATGGAAATGGCTGTAGTCAACACCTGTTTCCAAAAGAGGGAGGAGCATAGAGTGACCTATAAGAGTGGAGGAAGGAGTACGCAGGTCGACTACATTCTGTGTAGAAGAGGAAACCTGAGGGAGATTGGAGACTGTAACGTTGTGGCAGGGGAGAGCGTGGCCAGACAGCATCGGATGGTTGTGTGGAATTAATTCATTCAACCTTTATTTCTACAGGTTAGTCCCATTGAGCCTCAGGGACTCATTTACAAGAGAGACCTGGTTTAACAAAGAATGATGACAACAGTGAATAACAACGACAACAATAGACAGTAACAAAAGAGGCGTACAAATTTTATTATAATTTTTTTTTACAAATCAAAAACAAAATAGCAAACAAAAGAACAGTCAAAAGGAAAAGCAGCAAAAAGAAAAAAACAGCTAATTATAAGTTAGTGTAGAAAACTAAAAACAGGAACATGTCTGCGTTGATTTTTCCAGGAACTTATCAGATGTTTGAAGCCACTTAGAGAGGTCAAAGGTCGAGAGCTTCAGATGTTTTTACAAGATATTCCAGGAAACAGGAGCGGAGGAGGAGAAGGTCCTTTTGTCTAGTTCAGTCCTCACTGAGGGAACACTGCAGGTAATGATGTCCTGAGAGCGCACGCTGTAGCTGCACTCACACAGAGACATGTAGGAGGAGATGTATGAAGGCAGCAGACCAGGAAGTGATTTAAAGATGAAAATGTACCAGTGGGAGAGTCTGTGTGAAGTTAATGATGTAAACATGTATACATGATGTATGGTATACAATTATCACTGCTTCACGAGCTCAGGTCTTTTTATTGCAGGCTTGTAACATATACACTGAATATTACGTCACATCCGTCTGCTGTATGGCAAGCCCATGAGGACAATAATCATGATGATTTACAATACAGCATTGTAAATACGACAGAGACACAGAGGACAGAGTGAGATGGAGGAGGATGACTCGCTGTGGTGACCTCTGAAGAGGAACAAGCCGAAAGAACAAGAACAAGACTTTTAAAATAATGAAACATTTCTGCTGCTTATTTATTACTTCCGGTTATTTAATCAGCTGCCAGGAAGTTTACGTTATGAAGTTAATGAGTGACGTCATAGGACTTTATTTACTGAGTTTAGTTGATGATAAAAACGAACAAAAAGTACTAAAAATTAAAAACACCTATTCCACGCGCGACAGTAAAGGGCGCGAAAACGTTTCTCTATGACAGTACTTCCGGGTGAAAGAACATTCATTTCCGGTTGGGAAGCGTCTGTAGCGGGCTGTGGTCCGGTCAGGATGGTGAAATGTGTGGTCACTGGCTGTCCGAACCGGGACGAGAACAACCCAGGGTTCTTCAACAGAACCCAGAAACGGTTCTTCAGGTTCCCCACCGACCCGGCGAGGGTTCAGGTAGGACCAGAACCATCCTGGGACCCGCTTCAGTCCTCAGTCGGTTCCGTCAGAAAGTTCGAGTCACTTGGTTATTTTGAAAAGTTCCGTTTTCAAGTTGGTTCTGGTTGTTGAACCAGTTCTGATTAGAACTTCTCCAAACTTCCATCCGTAAAGAAGCAGCAGAGTGAAAAGTGTGGTCAGTTTGTCCTCCAGCAGTCTAAGCCTATAGCAGCAGAACTAAGGGACAGCTCAGGAAACCCAAGCTGACCCGAACTATAGGATTTATCAAAAAGGAAAGTCTTAATCCCAGTTTTAAAACTGGACAGTGTGTCAGCCTCACGGACAGAGACTGGAAGTTGGTTCCACAAGAGAGGAGCCTGAGAACTGAAAGATCTTCCTCCCATTCTGCTTCTGGAAACTCTAGGAACCACAAGTAAACCTGCAGTCTGAGAGTGAAGTGCTCTGTTAGTAAAATATGGAACAATAAGATCTGTAATATAAGATGGAGCTAGGTTGTTGAGAGCTTTGTAGGTTAGAAGTAAGATTCTGAAAACTGAAGAGAGATGATCTCTCCCAGTAACTCCAGTTAAGACTCTGGCAGCAGCATTTTGGATCAACTGAAGACGTTTTAAAGAAGTATTTGGACACCCAGATAATAAACCATTGCAATAGTCCAGTCTAGACGTGACAAATGCATGGACCAGTTTTTCTGCATCATCTTTAGATCAGATGTTTCTAATGTTAGTGATATTACGCAGGTGGAAGAAGGAGGTTCTAGTAACGTTTTTAATGTGGGGGATAAAAGACGTGTCCTGATCAAAAATAACACCAAGATTTTTAACATTAGAGCTGGAGGACAGATTAATGCATCTAAGGAGGGAGAAAGACTGAAACATTCATTCCTAAGCTGTTCAGGTCCAAAAACCAAAACCTCAGTCTTGTCTGTTCAACAGGAGAAAATTAAGGGTCATCCAGGTTTTTATGTCTTTAAGACATGCTTGTAGTCTAAGTAGCTGATTGGATTCATTGGGTTTAATGGACAAATATAATTGTGTGTCATCAGCATAACAATGGAAATTTATCCCATGTTGTTTAATAACTTTACCGAATGGAAGCATATATAAAGTAAAGAGTATTGGCCCAAGCACTGAGCCCTGAGGAACTCCATGACTAACTTTGGTGTATGAAGAAGATTTATTATTTACATTTACAAACTGGAATCTATCAGATAGATATGATTTAAACCATTGTAGAGCTGTTCCTGTAATCCCAACATCATATTCAAGCCTCTGTAGTAAAATATTGTGATCAACTGTATCAAATGCAGCACTGAGGTCTAACAGGACCAGTAGAGACACAAGTCCATTGTCTGAGGCCATGAGAATATCATTAGTGACTTTTACTAGTGCTGTTTCTGTGCTATGATGAGCTCTAAACCCTGACTGAAACTCTTCAAACAGATTATTTCTTTGTAGATGTTCACACAACTGACCTGCAACTAGTTTCTCTAGAAGTTTTGAGATGAAAGTTAGATTAGATATAGATCTATAGTTGGCCAGAATTTATGAATCAAGATCAGACTTCTTAAGTAAAGGTTTAATTACAGCAACCTTAAAGCTCTGTGGTACATAACCATCCATTAAAGACAAATTAAGTAGATCCAAAATGTGGACATTAATTAGTGGAAATAAAACATAAATCAGGCTCTAGTGAAATTTTTAAAGTTGCCTCATTTAATTTTTCTGATAAGCACCTGCTGAGATGAACTTTACTCTCAGTGACTGTGTAGTCATTTAATGTAAACTCAAAGTTATTAAAAAATGGTCGGACAGAACAGGATTTTGAGGAACTATTACCAAGTCCTTAATCTCTGCACCATAGGTCAGAACTAAATCAAGAGTGTGATGATAAGAATGAGTAGATGTGCAGACGTTTTGGGTAAAACCAAATGAGTCTATTAAATTATTAAAGGCTATGCTTAAACTATCACTTTCAACATCCACATGAATATTGAAATCACCCATTATGATGATTTTATCAGTATTTAATAATAAGTCAGTTAATAATTCTGATAATTCAGACAAAAACTGAGAGTAAGCGCCTGGTGGACGATATATAACAACTAGTAAAAGTGGCTTTTCTGATTTCCATTTTGGATTAGAAAGACTGAGGGACAGTGATTCAAAAGAATCATAACTAATAACTGGTTTGGCACTAATCAATAATCCTGACTGAAAAATAGAAGCTACTCCTGCACCTCGGCCAGTTGTTCTAGGAACATGAACATTTAAATAATTAACAGGAGTGGATTCATTTATACCAACAAAATCCTCCTGTTGTAGCGAAGTTTCTGTCAGACACAATCAATCAATATGATGATCAGTTATCAGTTCATTAACTAACAGGGATTTAGAGGAAACAGATCTGATGTTCAATAATCCACATTTAATGATTTTATGACTTTGCTCTGGTAAAGTAACTGAGTTTATTTTAATCAGATTTTTATGGTTTATATTTTTAGAGCTGATTTTTGGTTTATTTAATTTGAGCCGTGGGCGAGTTGACATGTGCTTATAGAAAAATAATTATCAAACATTAATACTTTTCTATCCTTAATGCCACTGATGGTATTCACTATTTCTGAACACCTATATTTATATTGATCTGGAGAATGAAAATAAGCCTCTTGCAATAAGTAACTAGCTCCTAGTTTGAAGTTGAAGGTCCATTGAGACGGTGAAATGCTATAGTGTGTGCTAAGGTGCAATATTAGTACCTTTACTCAAACCTGCAAACTGGACGCTTTGCAGTGAAATTTGGCATTTTCAAACTAAAATGTCATTTACGTGAATCATCCAGATCCGACAAGTTTACCTGGTGGGGGTCAGCGGCGAAGTGGATGGCATCAATTCCCTTTAAGGAACGGTGTTCCTCCTCAGTCACTTAGCTTATCAGGTGCTCATCTCTTCGGGGAATTTTGTTGTCGGGGCGGGGGGAGGAGGGGGAGAGAACTCCGTGCTGCGTGTTAGCTTACAGCAAGTTGTTGACCGGTGGGGGGGCGGGGTTAGGATGTGTGAGAAATGGAGCGTGTAGCATCTTAGCTAGCACGTCTATTGTGCACGGCAAGGTTTGGCCTTAAGATTTGAAAAGTCCAACTGATGGTGTTCCAGAGAATAACGTGAAGGAGAAATATCATGTTGGGGAGAAAGAGCCCTAATAGTGCTGGGCCGTGTCGAGTCGTTCACTGGTTAATACCGGTAAAAAAAAAAAAGCTTGTTGGCACAGAGGTTAGAGAGGTGGGCTTGTGATCCGAAGATCGCCGGTTCATGCCCCGGCCCCGACAACGTCAATAATTGTGGGTGGGGTAGGTGAAAACACCCACACCTGCCTCCACCCTCATTCGCCCCACTCTGGGCCCATGAGCAAGGTCCTTAACCCCACCATGTGCTCCTAAACAGGTCTCTCTTGAAAATGAGTTCTCGTGGCTCAATGAGACTAACCTGGATAAATAAAGGGTAAATGAAAAAAAAAAAGCTTGATATGATATGATATGCTAATATGCCAAGAAAATATGTTGAGTATCTGATTTGAGTTCATGTAGTTTCTAAAATTGGCCCTTAATTTGAAAAAGGTTTTAATTTTGGTCCCCTTTTGTAAGTGGGTTTGACACCCCTGGTCTATGGGCAAAGATTTTTGCGCCCCAAGGTGGAAATTTGTCACCAATCAGGCAACGTCGATCAACGAAACAACTTTACTCATCATTAACTGTTAAATATTTATCTTACACAACAACAAAAAAATGCATGTATTTCAAAATATTTTCATTTTATTATTTAATTTTTATTAACTTTTTTATGTCTTATTCAAGGTAATGTGGTGAATGTTGAGTGGTGGGGCGGTGCACTTGCACCCTCTATTGCCCATTGCCACTGCTCTCGTCTAAGTCTTGCTTCCACAACTCTCTCCCAGATCTTCATTGTGTGCCTCATCAACTTAATTCACCTGTAGTTGCTACAACTCTGTACATCACCTTGTTCTTAAAAATGGACACCATCACACTTCTTATCCATTCCCATTCCTCAAACATTTTCTCACCCTCAAATATGTCATTGAATATTTGAGTCAAAAACCTCACTGCATCTCTCCAAGACATTTCCAAACCTCCACTGGTCATCAGGTCCTACTGCCTTCACCTTCTTCTTTCTTTTCAGAGCTTTCTGGACTTCACCCTCACTCATCTTTCCCACTTCCTGGTCCACAGTTTCTATGACCTCTACTCTTCTTTCTCTTTCATTCTCTTCATTCATTAGCTCCTCAAAGTACTCCTTCCATCTTCCCGTCACACTCTCCTCATTTGTTAGAACGTTACCATTCCTGTCTTTACAAGCCTAACCTGCTGCACATCCTTTCCAGCCTGATCCTTCTGTCTCAGGTCCAGAAATTCTCCACTCATTAGATCCATATCAGGCAGAACCTCCACCGTGTCTAAGCGGAGTGAAGGAGCTAAACATTCTTTGATTTTTAATTTAGAGTCTTAAAAACAATCTTCTGAATTTTGTGAATTCGTGTGAAAATCTGAGATCAGCAGCTTTTTTCATTTCAGATATGATCAGCTGATTGATTTTTAATAATCAGCTGATTTTCTTCAGGTTTGGCTGGCGGCGCTCAGAGAGCCAGACAAACATATTTCTGCAGAGCATCACCGAATCTGTGAGGACCACTTCCTGCCGGAGGACGTGTCCACCTTTGGGGTCAGCAGCGACGCCATCCCCATCATGCCCCCTTGCCTGGATGGACCCCTGGGCCTGATGGGCCCCTGGGGGGCCCAGTCGGAGGATGAGGAGGATCAGTGGGCTGCTGGAGGGGTGAATGACTTTGAGGATGAAGGTGGAGCAGGAGTTCCATTTAACACCAAGTTTTCTGTACCAGAACTTCCTCCGCTGGATCCACCATTACAGGTCAGAACCTGCAGTAGACCCTTTGCTGACAGATGATCAGGTCTCAGAGAGAAAAAAAAACGTAAAAACTTGTTTATTCCTCAGAACATCATCTAATCTGAGGTAAAGAAGTTATTTATTGTTCATTAAACTACAGTCTTTATTGACTCAGAACCCTGGGAGGTAGTTAACTGGACCTGGATCAGTTCTTAACACAAATGTTGAGTCCATCATAGAGATTTCTTAAGAGCATGGCTGGGGGGACCCTAAGGTCCAGTCCTAGGTTCTGCTATAAAAGTAAATCATGATCATCATGTTGACCATGGGTCAGTCGGGTCAGGTGGTCTTCATCGGGCCAAGTAGTTGTCAGGCAGTCTTCAGTCAGGTGGTCTTCATCAGGTCAGGCAGTCTTCATCAGGTCAGGCAGTCTTCATTGGGTCAGGTAGTCTTCATCAGGTCAGGTGGTCCTCATCAAGTCAGGTGGTCTTCATCGGGTCAAGCAGTCTTCATCAGGTCAGGCAGTCTTCATTGGGTCAGGTGGTCTTCATCAAGTCAGGCGGTCTTCATCGGGTCAAGCAGTCTTCATCAGTTCAGGTAGTCTTCATCAGGCCAGGCGGTCTTCATCGGGTCAGGTAGTCTTCATCGGGTCAAGCAGTCTTCATCAGGTCAGGTAGTCTTCATCGGGTCAAACAGTCTTCATCAGGTCATCTGGTCAGACATTCTTCATCGGGTCAGGTGTTCTTCATCAGGTCACAAGGTCTTCATCGGACAGTTAGTCTTCATCGGGTCAAGCAGTCTTCCTCAGGTCAGGCATTATTCATCGGGTCAGGTAGTCTTCATCAGGTCACATGGTCTTCATCGGGTCAAGCCGTCTTCATCAGGTCAGGGAGTCTTCATCGGGTCAGGCATTCATCGGGTCAGGTGGTCTTCATCAGGTCAGGTGGCGTTCATTGGGTCAGGTAGTCTTCATCAGGTCAGGTGGTCTTCATCAGGTCAGGTGGCGTTCATTGGGTCAGGTAGTCTTCATCGGGTCAGGTGGTCTTCATCAG